TTTTTTTTTTTTTTTTCCCTTTCGGCTTCTCCCTTCTTCAGGTGTCGCCACAGCGAACAAAGTCGTACAAAGACTTGGCAATTATTTTACGCCAGGTGCCCTTCCTGACGCAATCACAGACCACCGAGCTACCACAGCCCTCTGTGTGGAGCAGAGAGCTGCCATCTAGGGCACCTAGGGGAGCAGATGGTGGAAGTTAAGGGCCTTGCTCAAGAGCCCAGAGTGCGGCAAATGAGGGTGGAGGCAGGTGTGGGTGTTTCACCCATCCCACTCACATTTTTTATGTTGATTTTGATGTTGAATTACAAATGATATATTATCCTAAAATATTTTTGACAGGTTTTCTGCAGTTAGTTATTCTAACATACTATGAACTAACATTCAGCCGAAGTTGTTTATCCAGAGCTGCTAGCTCCTTTGAATACAGTAAAAACAATGAAATTGTATTCTCTCCCAGAAGTCGGACCAAAGACCACTTCTTTCACCGAGTCCTCAGAAGAAGCATTGACGTCTTTCTCTTCACTGATGCCATAGCCTTTATACTGCAGTCTGTATGTTAAGATATCTTCAACCTTGACCCACTGCAGAGTTATACTGCTTTCATTCTGGGTCACAACTGTTACATGTTTAATGTCAAAAGGAGCTAAAAAAAAAAAAAACATAGAGGAGAAAGTATCATTTGAGACTAGATTCAAGAACAGTTTGTATCAGACAGACACACCAGTGTCAAAGTAAAAAAAAGACAAGAGTTAATACAAATACGGTTTTCTTGTACAACTGACGTAGTATTAAGCAATGTTGCTTAATACTACGTCAGTTGTGGTGTTTTTGTTATGCAGACATTAATTAGTTTCTCTTGTTTTTTGTTGTTGTTGTTTGTACAATACACTTCTAAATATTTCCATTTACAGATCACCTACCTGTGACATTAAGAAATGAGTATCCAGTACTGTAGAGCCCTTCAAACACAGTGAAAACAATAAAAGTGTATTCTCTCCCCGCAGTGAGATTAGAGACCACAACTTCCACTGATAGATCTCCAGAAGATGCAGTGACATTCTTGCTCTCATTAAAGCCATGGCCTTCATACTGCAGTATGTATGTTAGGATATCTTCAACCTTGGCCCACTGCAGAGTTACACTGCTTTCGGTCTGTGCCACAACTGTTACATTTATTACATTTCCAGGAGCTAAAAAAAAAGAGAAACTGATGTCAGAAAAAATGACTTGGGTCTAAAACATACCAGAGATTACGTACATTAGATAAAACAGTTTTTATAACATGTTTTATAGCTATTTCTAGTCATTGGAACACATTTTTCTACACATTTACGCATCACCTACTTGTCACAGCAGTAAAGAAGTATCCAGAGCTCATGACTTCATTGAACACAGTGAAAAGAGTGAAATTGTATTTAGTCACAGGAGTCAGACCAGACACCACATATGTTACTGATTTATCTTCAAGAGTGACATTTACATCCTCAGTACTGCCAGTGTTTTCATACAGCAGTCTGTATGTTGAGATGTTATTAACCTGGTCCCACCGCAGAGTTACACTGTTTTCATTCTGGGTCATCTTTCTTACATTTTTAACATTATCAGGAGCTATATAAAAAAATTAAAATGTTCTTAATGTGATCTGAGCACAAGATAATCATATCTGTGTCAAAAACAAAATGCAAAACATTTTTTAAAGTTTTGCTTTATTTTGAATTTTACTTTTTATATACAGTAGTCCCTCGTAATAGTAACAGTAGTAGGAGTAGTAGCAGTAGTCCCTATAATGCGAGTCCATCAAATCAAAACCATACCGGATCGTTCAAGGCACAGGTTAACAAGGACCGCCACCGATGCTGTTGACAAACAGGGTGCCGATGGAAATTGTGCTACTGTTAGTCGAAGACCACGAGGAGGGAAATGTGTTAGGAGACAGAGGGAGAAGAGGAAAGTCAAGAATTTAGGACTAAGGGTTGTAACTCTAAATGTGAGGACAGTGACAGGCGAAGGTAGAGAGCTGGCTGACATGATGCAGAGAAGGAAGGATGTTAGAAATGCAGCTGCCAGGAAAAAGACAAAGAGGAGATATATGGATGCAGCTAGAGAGGACATGGAGGTAGTTGGAGTGAGGACAGAGGATGCAGAGGACAGAGATGGAGGAGGATGACTCGCAGTGTCGACCCCTGAAGAGGGAAAAGCTGAAAGAAGAAGATATACAGTAGTTCCTCGATATTTCCTGTTTCGACTTTTGCGGACTCACTTTTTTGAGGGTTTTCGACGTGAGATTGTACCAAAAAAATAAAATAAAGAAAGAGAATGGTTGAGTGTGGCTGGGTGCGGCTCACTCAGGTATAAAACAGACCCCCTGCCCCCTCCTTTCTCTTTCTGAAGCTGTCTGTCACAACAGAGAGAGAGAAAGGAGGAGATGGGGTATGTCTTTCCCCATCGTGTCCCAGAGACACACAACAAGCAGACTTGCAACAGGCAGACTCAGAAAAAGAAAGGAGGGGCGGGGTCTATTTTATACCCGAGTGAGCCGCACAAGCAGCATGGATTGTTTATTTAAAATAATCAAGCACGACACAAACCGAGCCTGTAGGAATGAAAGCAGGAACAAGAATGTTGGAGGACAAGGCGATCAGATTATCTGGCAGGGAGGCACAGACTGAAGAGTGCTTAAGAAGTGCACAGGTGCAACAGGAGGGAGACTTGTAGTGACAGTGGTGATGAGCATGTGTGTGATTGCGGCGGAGAAGTGGGCATGGCAGAGAGCGGAGATCATGACACGCTGTGCTCTTTTAGAGCGTTTAGAGTTTAGAACATTCTTAAGAACATTGCAAGAGTGTGGGAAGGGTTTATAAAGCCTTAATATATGAATAAATACTAAAATAAATATAATGTCCCTACTTCGCGGATTTTCACCCATTGCAGGGGTGTCTGGAACGTAACCCCCGCGATAAGTGAGGGACTACTGTAGTTGGTTACTTTTAGCTAAATCTACACATTTTTATACACATTACCATTCACACATCACTTACTTGTCACAGCAGTAAAGAAATATCCAGAGCTCATGACTTCATTGAACACAGTGAAAAGAGTGAAATTGTATCTAGTCCCAGCAGTCAGACCAGACACCACATATGTTACTGCTCCAAGAGTGACATTTACATCCTCAGTACTGCCAGTGTTTTCATTCATCAGTCTGTATGTTGAGATGTTATTAACCTGGTCCCACTGCAGAGTTATGCTGCTTTCATTCCGTGTTACCACTTTTACAGATTCAACATCTGGAGGAGTAGCTATAAAACAAAGATGGGACAGTAGCATCATTGGAGGAAAAAAGAGAGTAAATTATAACTGATAGTATGAATGACAAAAAGGACATTTCACACTAACGTGGTTTTGTTGTTCTTTCTTCTGTTGTTAATGTTGCTGGTGATGAACTATCTTCCATCACTTCTGTGCTCTGCAATGGTTTTAATGTTGAGCTGCTGTCTGTTACAACCTAAACACAGAATAAAGGTGTCAACAGGTTTCTTTCTGATGTTTACTTAATTGTGTCAAACTGCAAGTGGACATTTGGGTTGTACATTTCACACGGGGGGGGGGAGCTAATGTAGTCTCTGAATATCCCACAGCAATCACTTTGTTATTATTTGACCAAATAGATTTAAAAAGCTCCTAACCCTCCGGCTGCCCCTGGGTCAATATGGGTCAGGGTTTAACTGCACTTTGCTTTGCGTATGAAAACTTACTTGAAGTGCATGCACAGGAAACTTGTGAAACCATCAGAGAATGCAAAATGCAAATTAGAGTCAGGAATTTATTTGAGTATATAGGAAGTTCTAACCAACAGCAAAAAAAAAAAAAGGAACAAGTCATCCAACTGAATAATTATCCTTCATTGGTTGCTGTGGATGTTTGTTTATTGTAATCACATAAAACATTCTTCATCATTTCTATTTACTACACTCACATAACAATAACAAATAAATGATTGATTCCGTGTTCGAAATTAAAATAAGAGGTGTGAACATTTTTGATATTTCACAAAAAAACATCAACAGAGATCATCAAACTGTGAAAAGATTTGTGTGGGATCCATGTTGTTTTTTTTCAGATCAAGGCATATTGAGGAAAGTTTCTGACAAATGAATGCGTCAAATTCGGAGAGCAGCTTATAAAACCACCGACTCGTAGCAAACAGGTTTTTGAATCTGCTCGTGTCTCAAGAACATCATAATACAAGTCCTCCAGAGGCTGAGCTGCATTTTATCCTCCATTAACCACGGAGAGAAATGCTTACAGTGGGTTAAAAAAAACACATGAAAACTAACTTTATGACAGTTTTGTTCACCGCTTAATTTTGAGCTTCGATGACTAATCCAGATGGACTGAGTTTTGAATGGTTGGTGTCTTCATGTACCAAGAAGGCTGGCTGGAATAATCGGTAGTGGGTTGGTGGGTCCCTTTAAAGTGTCTGGTGGTGTCAAAAAGATCTGCATATTTGTGGTATACCATTTCCTGCCATGGTATTTAAAATAAATAAATTGTTATTTCTGGGGCAGGGTTATGGTTAAAATAAAATATCACAGAGGCCTTGGCTGCTACGGGCATTAAAAAAGGTAAATCATGACGTGACCACCATCATTCTCTGACCTGAACCTTGTCGAGAATCAAAAAATAAGATCTATGAGGGTGGGAGGCAGTTTTCATCAAAACAGCACCCCTGACTTCTGCCATCTTCAAAGCAAATAGGAGCACAAACTATACATGGACTTTACCGTGTGAGATAATTCTTACGGTTATATCAAAAAAGGGCTCCACGTTAATATGTAACTGCATCTATAAAACAGTCTTTGATGCAATAACACGATTTAAAAAAAAAAAACTGACGCAAAAAAAAAAAAGATTTCCATTTTTAAAGCTTTTGCAAGAGTTTTGAAACTCTTGTACATAGTAATTTGGAACTGTGTTCTGATTTGACGAAGACTGTTGTTGTTATTGGTAGTTTTGTTTCATAAAATTCATGAGAAATGTTGAGAATTTAAAGAAATTCAATTGGTTTTAAATTATCCATTTAGAAAAAAAAAAAAAGCAGTGTATGCATAATCATTTTGAATGCAGTGTCGAATAAATGTAATGAGACATAAAACTGTGCTGAACCACATTATCTGCTCTGCAATAAACAATATAAGACTAAAAATATAACAAAACACTGCCTTACTAAGCTGGTCATTGCTCAATTATCCTTTTTTTATTTTAGGAAACTTAAAAACAGATAACTGCTGCTGTGACATAAAAGATGAAATCACATTTCACAACTTGAGAAAGTCCATCATTTTAGGTTTGTTCAGTATTTTTTAATGTTGCTTCAGCTTTGTGTCTACACTGATATATCACTACTGAGATGACTATCACACACTGAGACTGCACTCCGGTTTTGACAAGGTATACTTTCTTTTTGTCGAGGTTTAACTTTTACGACCCAGCTGCACTATCTGACCACAATCAGCGTAAAAAGAATTGAAGATAAACTCACCAAAAGCAGACTTAAGATGAAACTCGGTAAGATGTGCCTCATCCTTTCTTGTTGGTTATTTACTTACTAAGAACATGAAGAGCGACTCTGCTGTCCGAAGATAAACCACAGCTTTGTGTCAGCACTGCCACTGACAGAAACGTTTCTTGAACCAGGGCCGATGCAGTCCGTATTAACTTTATTCCAGTGGTGTTGACTTTTAATTTTTAACCGGGTCCTCCTTTCATAACCTCTGGTCTCTTCACGTATTCCCAAGTGACTAAGAAAACAACTGCTTCTCCTTTTTAGACTTGTACAAGCAGAAAGAGACCTTTGCCCCGCCTGTTACTTCCTTATTAACGGTTGTAGAGTCACTTGTCAAGGGTATGCTGATCAAGTGAAGCTGCCCGTTTTAAATGTTTATTGGGGTTGATTGCTTTATATCTGCTGCAACTACCACTTTCAAGCTTGTGACTACAGTTGTGAACTTCTTATCATGAGCAGACAAATGTCACCTACATGAATACAAAATTAATCTTTCTAGAGTGGAATTTTTCAGATGATTAATAAAGAATACAATTGCTGACCGATTTTACGGACAATTAAAGCTGTTGCAGTTTTTATTTTTCAATACAGAGCAATGTGATTTTTACAGCTTCCTTGTGGTTAAGACCTATAAGGAACTGTGAAAAGAAATACGACTGATAGAACACAAGTTTGTTTATGGTTCAATAAAAGATGGATGTCAAAGAGCACATTATTTCTGTTCATTTATGGGAAAGGAAGCAGAATCCATAAATGATAACCAAGTCTTTTCAAACTATATGATGATACTCTTTTGCAGAACTATAACGAGCTTCCATGTTTGAGAATGACCACAACTAATGTATTGTTTTGTTTTTTACAAAGTGTGGTTATTCAACATTCAAACTACAGGACAGTATTTTAATAAAGTGGCTTGGTGAGGGTGGTGCCAGCATAATAATTATCTTGTGGCATTTGAATAACTCCCAAATTATTAAAAATCAAAACTCACAATTGAAATGAGGCTCCTACAGATCCATACTGAGACTCATTATGTGTCAATAGTTTAATCTAATAATTTAAGAATAATAATTGCCAGCAAGTGTTTGAGACCTGGAGCAGTGTCTACCTCGGAAATAAGGAAACAAGTAAATTTACTTCTTACTAATATTATATATTATTATATTGTTCTGTTACACTGCTTTAAAGAGGTCTGGATGAGAGGATCAAGGCTTCATGTCAGTCACAGTTATGAAATTAAATGGTGTAAAGACGGTTGTCAAATTTTTTTTAGGTATTTTGAAAAACTAGATCTATCTGTCTGTCTGTCTATACAAATATTTATATCTATCTATCTATACAAATATTTATATCTATCTATCTATCTATCTATCTATCTATCTATCTATCTATCTAT